TATTTTTGTGTGTGTGTCCAGCTCAGCCCACCAGGGGGCGGGGCTGGCTGGCATGTGGTGCTGGGGGATTGAACCATGGTCCAGGTGTTTTGCTAAGCTTGTTCTAAGTAGGTGCTTTAGACCACTGAGCCATCTCACCAGCCCTGAAGGTTTTTTTATTGGTGCTGGAGATCAAGGCCAGGGTCTTACAAATGCTAAGCAAGTGCCCTAGCTCTAAGCTCCATTCCCAGTCCTAGGGAATTTGATGTCTGTACCATGAATACTTGGGATTCCTCAGGAAGGTTCGCTAAGGCTTTAGAGTGGAGGGAGCAGCCTTGCCACAGTGCTCATACATCGCCTTTTAGTACTGCGTTCTGCGTAAAAATGTGTCTGGGAAAAATTTAAAGAGCATGTCCATACAGGAGCTTTTTCCTTTTGCCTCTTGTACCCCAGGAAGCAACATGGGTCACCACCAGTCCTGCAGGAGCCACCTGAGGAAATTTGATCTGGGCTCTAGCTTTTTTTTTTTTTTTTTCCTAGCTCTTGCCACATTAGTTCATACTGATAGGTTATGGCCCTAGTAAAAATTGCTGAATTATTATGGTGGTCATCTAATATGGCTGAAGCCCTTAAAACAACAGCTCATCTTCCCAGAGACCACCTCCCCCTTCTTCTCCAACTCGGCCCAGGGTGCAGTTTCCTTTCACCTTTCTCTCCACCTCAGGGAAGGCCCCAGTCAGCTCCTCAGGTATATCCAAATTTCCCCCTCAAGCCCCACCCCTGGCAAAGGCCATAAAAGCCTCAGCCTCCTTTTGTTCCAGTCCAGAGAATTCCTTATCTTCCCAAATTCTCTCCGTGTCCTCTAAGATAATGAAGTCCCTTTTCCTTTATAATAAAGCCCCTTTCCCCTTTCCTTCTGCATGTTTCTCTGCTGCGACACCATTAAAACCTATCACATACCAGCATAATTTGATCCAGAAATGTGGCCAAACATGTGGTACCAGGGTTTCTGTCAGTGCATAGAAGACATTGACTGCATCAGATGAGAATGAGTGGGCTTCCTTCAATGGATTATCCAGGACATTGACTCAGTGAAGGAGACCATGTTTATTCTTTGTCCATAAAATAAAATATTTAAAAGCTTAAAAAAAAAAAATAAGAGTCAAGAGAGGAGATATACTGTATATTTATATAAGAGTAGCCTTTACTAGACTAGGGAAATATTTTCAGTTTAAATGTTTCTGTGTGTTATACTCTGGTTTCTCTTCAGATCGTATAAATCTTTCACCTTTTTAAATGTTTCTGTGGCTTTGGAATTTGTTTCTTAGATGGCAAGATTATGTCCATGTAAGCTTTAATATGGATAGCTTGGTAAAGGTTATATATTGCTACGAGTTTAATACTTTCAGTTAAAAAGGAAAAGATCTGGGTAGGCGGGATAGCTCAGCAGCTTAAGCACATGACTGGCAAGTGCAACATCCTGAGTTCAATCCCCAGTACCAAAAAAAAAACAAGAAAAAGATCTGTGTTTTAAAACAGGTGTGATGGGGCTGGTGAAATGGCTCAGTGGTCTAAAGCACCTATTTAGAACAAGCTTGGCAGAGCACAGGGACCACGGTTCAATCCCCCAGCACCACATGCCAGCCAGCAGCGCCCCCTGGTGGACTGAGCTGGCCACACACACACACACACACACACA